GGCGGTGTAGAGCTTTTTCTTGCTGACTTCCGCCAGCGAGACACTCCTGCTGTTCTCTATCTTTAATAATTTTCCCCGGTCCTCGCGATCAGAGGGGACGGCACAGGAGAAGGTCAGCTGGGGGAAGGAGGGTCCCTCCCTGTCGCCCGACTCTCCCAGCCCCACTCCGAGCCTCTTCGTCGCCCGCAGGACTTCCCGCAACAGTTTGGTCCCGGCGAGCATGGAGCGCAGCCCGGCCGCTTCTGAGATTTCCATAGCCGGTCTCCACCTTCGCCGGCTAGGGTCCACCAGGTCGCTGACCCTGCTCACCCCTCCGGCAACAAACCGCGCGGCCAGGGTGCGTTCCTCCTTCAGGCCCTGGAAGAGGTCGTTAGCGAAAAGCGGCTCCTGCAGAAAAAGGTTCGCATCATAGTCCGCGGGCGCCCTTTCCCATTCAAGACTACGCCAAGCATCTAGCAGGCTGCGATAATACCTTGGCAGCGGCGACTGGTCTACCAGCCCCAGGTCCGTCAGGAAGAGCTCGCGGCCGTACCCAAGCCTTCCGGCCTGTCTCAGCAAACCGAGGGCCAGGGCCTTCCAGGGCTGGTCCTCCGGCTCGTACAGCAGGCACCTTATGTCCAGGACCCTGAACGCCATCACCCTGCTGGCGACGCTCACTAGGCCCTGGCCTCCCTCCTTCACTGGCAAACAGAGGACCCCCGGCCTCTGCCAGTGCCTTCCGTGCCAGACGAAGGAGGTGAAGGCCCTCTGTACTTTCGTCAACAGCCAGTCTGGGGGGTGGAGGACTCTGGCCTTATGCCACAGCATGGCCGCCGCCAGGTTATTAACGACGAGGACCCGTCCCCTGTACGACATTTGCGGAGCGAAACGGGCCCACGCCTGTAACCTCCCTCCAATCTTCTCCGCCACATCCTCCCAATTCTTGGCCACAGTGGCCGGGTTACCCAGGTACACCCCCAGGTAATTGGTGCCCTCCGTGCCCCACTCCACCCCCCCTGGGAGCGTCACGGCGCGCATCGTCCCCCGCGGCCCCAGACACAGCGCCTGGCACTTTGGCCAGTTCACCTTTGCAGAGGAGGCGCTCTCGTAGAGGCCGACCGCCCTGAGACACGGTGAGAGAGAGACACGGAGAGAGAGACAGAGAGAGAGACACGGAGAGAGAGAGAGAGAGACGAAGAGTGAGAGATAGACAGCCATTGATTGAGTTTCATGGTTTTTTCCAAAAACATTTATTGGAAGAAGGCACCTCGGCACAGGTAAAACAGATAAAAATGTCACAGGTAAAACTGGTAAAGGAAGTAAAAATGGCACGAGTGATCAATTCTGGAGAGAAAGAAGGCACAATGAAACAGGTTCGGGGTTTGGGATGAATCAACTCTTTCATTCATATCTGTATACAACAGTCAGTACAGTACTTATAACTGTTAGCACACCACTTTTAACTGTTAGTAGAGTCCTGTTTCATCGTCAAATGTTTGTGTCCCGGTGTCCACATGTGCCATTTGTTCCCGTGCCATGTTTACCAAAGGTCGGCTACTTACACCCCTCGCCTCGTTGTCTCCGCACACGACCATCGAAGCCGACAACTCTCGTCCAGCACGAGAGACCCTGGGCTCGACGCCAGCGCTGTTGCCAAATCGCTTCGGAGTCTCGCGCTCGGCCCAGACCACAACTGCGCCGCGTTCACGTTCCATTCCTTCTCCATGCCCACGCAGCGGAGGCCCCTCTGGCTATTGCCAGTTGCCCGCGGGTGGGCGAGACGCAGCGCGTGCAAGATGTCACGCCTCTGTCCCGCTCATGTTCCAGTGTCTGTTCGGGAAATCGAACTCGGCTCTCCGGGTCCAGAACGCAAATGCGCTGAAACCGCGGCACCACCGCTCCACCGGGTGAGCGTCAATGACGCCTGAACACTTGAAACAGGTCTCTGTGTAGAGCGGTCTCCATCGTGGAGAGGAGCGGTGGTACGGGTGCGGGTATCCATTTGCGACCCTGGTGCGGCCGGGTACGGGTACAGGTACGGGTAAGGAATCAAAACCCGTTTGCGTACGTCAACAGCCCGGACAGGTGAGAGCCTCAACAGGTGCACATCGAGCTGCCGATTGAAGGTGGATTGTGCTTGGCTATCAGAATTGTAATATTTATAAACACTGGCGGGATTCTACGAGCTGTCAAGCTCTCTCTTGGTAGCTCTTTGGGGCACGTCAGAAAGTGACAACAACAACAACAATATCAAAACACGGTTGGAGTGCAAACCACAGGAACGGTAAACGAATCACTTTAAAAAAACGATACACGTAAAAAGAAACAATGTATCTTAACAAGTAAGGCCCACTGGGCTAATAGCTTCATTTTCAGAAGCGACCGGGCTACAAATGAAAGCTCAACAAAGTGGCTTGTCATGTGGAACTTGATATATGTTCCACTGCCATCACAGTATCACAACAACAACTAAAACAATACGGTATCTGGATATATTCCGCACCTTAAAGCTGCCTTCGCAGTTTAACAAATAAAAATCCGTGTTTTTTTCCTCCCCACTTATAACAAAAAAGGATTGTAAAATATCGCGTATATGTTAATCGTTTCAGTTGTTTCTGGTAACGCAGATAGCAATGCGACAGAGTCTTGTAGAAGCTGTCGGAGTGAATTGACGTTCACAAGGGTCGTTAATTGTCATAACATCCCAAATTTGACCATTTACGAACAAGTGATACGTTGTAAAAACAATCATCCCCTTAGGAACTTGTACAACATAAACCTCTTCCAGTAACATCCGGCTTGTCATAACATCACGGCGGAACTGGTCCCAACACGTACTCGATAAACGCAAAGCCATTCACAATAACCGTGACGCCGTTCTTATACTTGAGGATCTCAGCACAATAATAAGAAGGCAAAAAAGAGGCGATCAAAGGTTTTCGCAAAGTCATCAAGATATGTGTGTTGTTGTTTGCCTGTTGCGTGTGTGGCCAGAGCTAGAGACCGCACAAGACAAAGTCGTTGAACGACACACACACAAAGGGCTCGCCGCTAAAACGAATCCATCATCAGGTGTGGTTTTCACCACACCTGGTGATGATTATTATTTTGATGATCGAACTTTCCCGGAGGAGCTGTAACAGTTAAAAACGATACGGACCAATGGCTCAACGTCGATTGTGAAGGCTCATGAAACACACGCGGGATCACGCGCGTGAGATATCGATGGCTTTGTGAACCCCCCCCCACACAGCAGTCAGCGCACTGTGACCAGGGATCTGACCCGAGTCAGATCCCTGGTCACGGACAGCATCAGTGGCGAGTGGTGTCCGAACAGGACCTGGGAATTCACCGTTTACCAACACGAACCGACCGGCACCTGCACCATCCACCACCGCCGATGTCCATCGGCTCCGGTCCCCGCGGCACCGGCGCCGATGCCGCGGATCTCGGCCGGATGCGGCACCAATCGCCAGCGGCAATCGAACGCCGACGAGCCGCCCGCAACCTCCTCCCGTTCCGTTAGTCGGCGTCTACCGCCCGACACGTCCGGCTCGGAGCCGGCGCCTTCCCCGCCGGCGCCCCGGCGCCGCCCCGGCAAGCGGAAGCGCTGCCGCACGAGCTCCACGCCCTCGCGCAGCCGGTGCCCCTTGGGCGACGACGACCGAGCCGCGTTCCCCGGGTGCCGTCGGTGGTCGGAGGAGGCGCCGTCGCCGTCGTCGCCGTAGCCTCCCCGCAGGTCCGCCGACTTGTGCAGGGAGCCGGCCCAGCTGCCGTGGCCGAGCTTGCAGATGCGCGCCTCCCGCTGCTGGTACCGGGGCCCGCCCAGATCGCCCGGCCGCCAGCCCAGGGCGCCGGCCGTCGGCTCGGCCGCCGCGCTCCAGCCGGTCACTGGCGTCACCCCCCCCCCCTCCTGGTGAACATCGCTCATTGGGCAGCAGCTGCCCCCTCCGTCTCCTCCCATTGGCAGACGCCTCCCCCCCTCCATGCCTCGCCCTCCCCCCTCTCCCACCTCTCCCACCTCCCCTCCCTCCCCCTTCCACCTCCCCCTCCCACCTCCCACCTGCCCCTCCCTCCCCCTCCCACCTCCTCCTCCCTCCCACTTCCCCTCCCTCCCTCCCACCTCCCCCTCCCTCCCCCTCCCACCTCCCTCCCACCTCCCCCTCCCGTACTCCCTCTCACCTGTGTGTACACTCACACACATGTGTGTGTGAGTCCATGTGTGTGTGTGTGTGTGAGTCCATATGTGTGTGTAACTCCATGTATGTGTCTAAAGTCGATGTCTGTCTGTGTGAGTCCATGTATGTGTGTCTAAAGTCGATGTCTGTCTGTGTGAGTCCATTTATGTGTGTCTAAAGTCGATGTCTTTGTGCGTGTGGGCCAATGTGTGTGTGTAAGTCCATGTGTGTGTGCACACACACACATGGACTTACACTTGTCGCGAGTGACATTATATAGCATGGGCCCTCCCTTGCACATGAAACAGGAGTTGTGTTGAGATGTTAAAACACAAAACAGAAACCTTTCGCAAGGAATCATGTCACTGAATTAGCCACACGAGGTGCTACTACTGTACGTGTTACATTTTATTTTGGTCTTTCGCTAAAAGTCACCTAGATAGGTTAAACATTAATATGTGTACACCTCCCACCACCCCTGTACCCCCCTACCCCTCCTGCACCCCTCATCCAGCAGTGGGTAGAGTCTACCCTACGAGATATTGACTCTAGACGTGAGTATTGAGAAAGGCATCCCAGGAATGTGCTTAAATAAACAACTTGGAGGCCACAATCGATTCTTGGCCAGAGCCTAAGCCACCACCCCTTGCTAATAAGTGACGTGTTGAGTCAACAGCCCACTGAGTCAACACTAAGGACACTGAGCCCTCAACACAGACGCGGGCGGGGTGGGTGGGTTGGAGAGCAGAGACCTCCACTCTCGGTCAAGTCGCGTGCTGACTCGCATCTTGCAGGGCTACTACTGCTGCTACTGCTGCACCATTGCTGCTGCTGTGGTGCTGTTGCTGGTACCTCTATCAGCCAAGCCTCTCATCATCACCTGCTCCTGTGTGGGTGAGTGGGTGGATGAGTGTGTGGGTGGGTGAGTAGGTGAGTGGATGAGTGGGTGAAAGTGGTGGGTGAGTGAGTGGGTGAGTGGGTGGGTGAGTGAGTATGTGGGTGAGTGTGTGAGCGACTGGGTGAGTGAGTGAGCGACTGGGTGAGTGAATGGATGAGGGGGTAGGTGGGTGGATGAATGGGTGTGTGAGTGGGTAGGTGAGTGTGTGGGTGAGTGTGTGAGCGACTGGGTGGGTTAGTGTGTGAGCGACTGGGTGAGTGAGTGAGCGAGCGACTTGGTGAGTGAGTGGGTGGGTGAGTGGGCGGGTGAGTGGATGAGTGTGTGGGTGAGTGGGTGGATGAGTGAATGAGTGGGTGAGTGAGTGACTGGGTGAGTGGGTGAGTGAGTGTGTGAGTGGTTGGGTGAGTGGGTGGGTGAGCGACTGGGTGAGTGAGTGGGTGTGTGAGTGGATGAGTGGGTGGATGAGTGTGTGGGTGAGTGTGTGAGCGACTGGGTGAGTGAGTGGGTGGGTGAGTGTGTGAGTGGGTGTTGAGTGTGTGGGTGAGTGTGTGAGCGACTGGGTGAGTGAGTGGGTGGGTGAGTGTGTGAGTGGGTGTTGAGTGTGTGGGTGAGTGTGTGAGCGACTGGGCGAGTGAGTGAGTGAGCGATTGGGTCAGTGAGTGGGTGGGTGAGTGAGTGGGTGGGTGTGTGAGTGGGTGGGTGAGTGAGTGTGTGAGTGTGTAGGTGGGTGGGTGAGTGGGTAGATGAGTGTGTGGGTGAGTGTGTGGGTGAGTGTGTGAGTGGGTGGTGAGTGTGTGTGTGAGTGAGCGAGCGACTGTGTGAGTGAGTGGGTGTGTGAGTTGGTGGGTGAGTAAGTGGGTGTGTGCGTGGGTGTGTGAGTGGGTGGGTGAGCGACTGGGTGAGTGAGTGTGTGTGTGAGTGAGTGAGTGGGTGAGTGGGTGGGTGGGTGAGTGAGTGGGTGTGTGAGCGACTGGGACATTGCGTAAGTGAGCGACTGTGTGAGTGAGTGAGTGTGTGAGTGTGTGAGTGAGTATGTGAGTGTGTAGGTGTGTGTGTGAGTGAGTGGCTGAGTGAGTGGATGAGTGTGTGGGTGAGTGTGTGTGTGAGCGACTGGGTGAGCGATTGAGTGAGTGTGTGAGTGGTTGGGTGAGTGGGTGGGTGAGCGACTGGGTGAGTGAGTGGGTGTGTGAGTGGGTGAGTAGGTGGATGAGTGTGTGGGTGAGTGTGTGAGTGGGTGGTGAGTGTGTGAGTGGGTGAGTTGGTGGATGAGTGTGTGGGTGAGTGTGTGAGTGGGTGGATGAGTGAATGAGTGGGTGAGTGAGTGACTGGGTGAGTGGGTGAGTGAGTGTGTGAGTGGTTGGGTGAGTGGGTGGGTGAGTGAGTGTGTGAGTGATTCGGTGTGTGAGTGGGTGAGTGGGTGGATGAGTGTGTGGGTGGGTGGTGAGTGTGTGGGTGGGTGGTGAGTGTGTGAGTGGGTGTGTGAGTGGGTGAGTGGGTGGATGAGTGGGTGGATGAGTGTGTGAGTGGATGAGTGAGCGAGTGGGTGTGTGAGTGGGTGAGTGGGTGGATGAGTGTGCGGGTGAGTGTGTGTGTAAGTGTGTGAGTGACTGGGTGAGTGACTGGGTGAGTGAGTGGGTGAGTGAGTGTGTGCGTTTTTTAGGGACCTCTGCTTAAACGCGTCTCTCTCTCCACTCTCTTTCTCTTCCTCTCCAGCAGTTGATTCCCCCCACTGCGTGTCAAGTTCTCCACCGGGCCCCAACCCGCTGCCCCAGCGCCACCGTAGCCAATCCACCGATGCTCGGCATGGCCTGTCTGGAGAGGGACCTGCTGTACCTCAAGCTGCGCACGGGGTACAACATCTTCCAGGAGAACGGACAGAGGAAGTTCGGACCGCCGCCCGACTGGCAGGGCCCCCCTCCCGCCCGCGGCTGCGAGGTGTTCGTGGGGAGGATCCCACGCGACCTCTACGAAGACGAGCTGGTTCCCGCGCTGGAGGCGGTGGGCAAGATCTACCAGCTCCGCCTCATGATGGCGTTCAGCGGAGAGAACCGCGGCCTCGCGTTCGTCACCTACGCGATGCGCTCCCACGCCAAGGACGCCGTCAAGAAACTCAACAACTTGGAGATCCGTCCCGGACACCGCATCGGAGTCAAAGTGAGCATGCACTTTCGCCGTCTCTTCATCGGGGGGCTGCCAAAGGACAAGACGCGAGCGGAGGTGATGATGGTGATGAGCGACGCCACAGAGGGCGTGGTGGGTGTCAAGACGAGCGTCCATTTACGCGACAACACCCTCAACCGAGGCTTCGCGTTCATCGAGTACGAGAGCCATCACGCGGCCGCCATGGCCCGGAAGAAGCTCCGTCAACTTCGCTTCTGGCTCTGGGGCCGGACCATCGAGGTGGACTGGGCCACCCCGGAGCGAAACACGGCGGCGGCTGCCGCGGCCACGGCAGCGGAACACGAGGAGGAGGAGAAGAAGGCGGTGGTCCCAGACCTGCTGCCGCCGGATTGCACCGGCGCCGGCAAGGCCGCGCACAGCCTGTTTGGGGGCTGGGGGCCACGCACGCGGCTCTGGCGGGCACCCCGCCACTCACGGCCCACGCCCGTCGGTCTGGACGAGCTGCCGGAGGCGGCCGTCTTGTCGTGGGAGACTCGTCTGCAGGCGCTGCTACGGAGCGCCGGCGTGGGCCACGCGACCTTCGAACTGCACGCTCACTCGGAGCCCGGCAGGCCCATGGGCCTCGTGTACAAGGTCTCCGTTCCCGGGATGATGCGGGAAGGCAGCGGCTTCTTCCCCGCGGTGCTGAGCTCCAGCGTGGAGGGAGCGCGCGAAGTGGCCAGCGGCCTTCTCTACGAAATCCTCGGCGACGCCAACCCCCTGTGGGTGGGCCCGGTCCCCGCCGCCACGCTGCCTCCCGGCTGCCCCGTCCGGGACCTCCCGGCGTATCCCGGCGACTTCCCCGCGCCCCGGCAGCCGGTCGCCGCGCGCCTGCCGACGAGCGGCACGCACCCATAGTGCCGCGTGGCCGTCGCGGCGGCGTTCGTCAGGCCGCGGACGGCGTCCCACCGCTCGGCGTTCGCTCTGCAGCTCACGTCCGCTCTGCAGTGTTCACCGTCAAACCGCAAGTTGCCCGCCCGCTCACTCGACGTGCTCACGTTGATCGGTTGTTGCCTCTGTGGCCGTACCCGTGAATCCCTTCCCAGGCCAGCGGGCGTGACCCCGTGACCTCGCCAGGCGTGACCCCGTGATGTCACCAGGCGTGACCCCGTGACATCGCCAGGTGTGACCCCTGTGATGTCACCAGGCGTGACCCCGTGACCTCGCCAGGCGTGACCCCGTGATGTCACCAGGCGTGACCCCGTGACATCGCCAGGTGTGACCCCTGTGATGTCACCAGGCGTGACCCCGTGACCTCGCCAGGCGTGACCCCGTAATGTCACCAGGCGTGACCCCGTGACATCACCAGGCGTGACCCCGTGACCTCGGGCGTGACCCCGTGACGTCACCAGGTGTGACCCCGTGACGTCGCCAGGCGTGACCCCGCCAGGCGTGACCCCCGTGACGTCACCAGGCGTGACCCCGTGACCTCGCCAGGCGTGACCCCGTGACGTCACCAGGCGTGACCCCGTGACCCCTCCAGGCGTGACCCTGTCATTACACTTTAATGAAAACCGACAACTGAATCCGTAAAAAAAATGATTTCAGGTGTTTGACGCGGTCAACGCCATTTCGTTTTGAAAATGTCGGGGAGAAAAAAATATTTTGTTCACATCGCATTTTGATTCTTTATCAAATAGAAAAACCCACTCACCCACCCACACACTCGCTCACCCACTCACACACCCACTAACCCACCCACCCACACACTCGCTCACCCACTCACACACCCACTCACTCGCTCACCCACTCACCCACCCACACACTCGCTCACCCACTCACACACCCACTAACCCACCCACCCACACACTCGCTCACCCACTCACACACCCACTAACCCACCCACCCACCCACACACTCGCTCACCCAGTCACACACCCACTCACTCGCTCACCTACTCACCCACCCACACACTCGCTCACCCACTCACACACCCACTCACTCGCTCACCCACTCACCCACCCACACACACACTCACCCACTCACCTGTTCACACACACACTCACCCACTCACGTAGCGACTTTGCTACACACGGAAATGTCCGTGCACTGCCTCGTTTGCACAGCCTCTATCCCTGTGCCACGTGTAGTTCGTGCACACACAGCTGTTAAGAGTTTGATGTTTTGTTGATTCACAATTTACGTGTGTTCTCCCTGTAATGTTTTTTTGTTAATGTTTTAGTGGAAATAAAGTCGTGAAAAGTCTCTTCCTCTCTCTCTCCCCACTCTCTCGGCCGAGTATCTGCCACTGTTGGTTATGAGTGTCGCATGCTTGGGACCTTTCTTTCCCTCCTCTGCGGATTTAATTTGATGTGCTGATTTACACCCAACACATTTCAGACTTCCCTGTTTAGTCAGGGCATGTTCCTGATCATTACCAACGTTCCAATGGCCAGGAACTTCAGAGTAACCTATTACCTTTTCATGCAGCATCATCATATAATTCTCCTGGATCATCGCCTTTATAGCTTTGATCAATTGCCAATGGTTTACCGGTTCGTGTTTGTATTTATTTGTGCCGCCCTCTTTCCCCGTGGGACCACGTGGCGTGAAGTTGTGTCGCACATGAACAGAGTCGGTGCACATCACGAGTTTCCGTACTCGACTGTCACAGAGACACACACACAGAGACATAGACACACACAGAGACATAGACACACACAGAGACATAGACACACACAGACACACACGCAGAGACACACAGACACACAGAGACACATGCAGAGACAGACACACACACAGAGACACACAGAGACACACACACAGAGACACACACAGACACACGCAGAGACGCACAGAGACACACACAGACACACAGACACGCAGAGACGCACAGACACACACATGCAGAGACACAGACACACACACAGAGACACACACAGAGACACAGACACACACACACACAGAGACAGACACACACAGAGAGACACACACACAGAGACACGGACACACACAGAGACACACACACAGAGACACACGCAGAGACACACACAGACACAGATACACACACAGACACACGCAGAGACGCACAGAGACACACACAGACACACACAGACACGCAGAGACGCACAGACACAGAGACACAGACACACACACAGAGACACACACAGAGACACACACAGAGACACAGACACACACACACACAGACAGACACACACAGAGAGACACACACACAGAGACACGGACACACACAGAGACACACACACAGAGACACACGCAGAGACACACACACAGACACACACAGAGACACACATGCAGAGACACAGACACACACACAGAGACACACAGACACACACAGAGACACAGACACACACACAGAGACACACACAGAGACATAGACACACACACAGAGACACACACAGACACATACGCAGAGACACACAGACACACACAGAGACACACAGTGACACACACACAGAGACACAGACACACACAGAGACACAGACACACATAGACACACACACAGAGACACACGCAGAGACACACACAGAGACAGACACACACAGAGAGACACACACGCAGAGACACACAGACACACAGAGATACACATGCAGAGACACAAACACACACACAGAGACATAGACACACACAGACACAGAGACACAGAGACGACATGGACACACGTAGACACGCAGAGACACACATGCAGAGACACACACACACAGAGACATGAACACACACGCAGAGACACGTAGAGACACACAGAGACATGCACGCAGAGACATGCACGCAGAGACACAAAGACACGCAGAGACACAGACACACCGTTACAGACACACACGCAGACACACGTAGAGACACAGACACGCACAGAGACCGGCAGTTGCTGCTACTGCTGCCGCTACTACTGCCGCTGCTGCTGCTGTTGCTGCTGCTGCTACTGCTGCTGCTACTACTGCTGTTGCTGCTGCTGGAGCTGCTGTTGCTGCTGTTGCTGCTGCTGCTACTACTGCTGCTGCTGTTGCTGCTGCTACTACTGCTGCTGTTGCTGCTGCTGCTACTACTGCTGTTGCTACTACTGCTGCTGTTGCTGCTGCTACTACTACTGCTGCTGTTGCTGCTGCTACTACTGCTGCTGCTGTTGCTGCAGCTGCTGCATAGAGTTTGTGTCTCTCTGTATCTCTGTTGTCGAGTGGATTTTCTTTCCGGGCCCTCTGGTTTTCCCCTCCACATTTGAGAGACGTGAGTTGCTAGAGTCTTTGCCAACTGCTATAAAGGTTCACGTGATGATGATGATGAACCTCATTGCTAGAACTATCATCGGTAATGGCCAGGTCAGGGCCTTCTAAAAGAGAGCTTACACACACAGCATCTCAATGAGGCCCTTGCCCGCTAAAAATAAAACGCGGTTTAGTTTCTAGCTCAAGTCTTGTGCACAACAACAACATCATCACGACGCGTCCACCTGCTCAGAGCAGTTCCAGCCCAGGTAAGTGAACTTGCCACCTTTATTACCATCACCAGCACCACCACCAGCAGCAGCACAATGTCTCCCCCAGCAAACAACAAAACAGCTGGGCAGGCAGCCTCACTCACTCACGGGGCAGGCAGCCTCACTCACTCACTCACGGGGCAGGCAGCCTCACTCACTCACGGGGCAGGCAGCCTCACTCACTCACGGGGCAGGCAGCCTCACTCACTCACTCACGGGGCAGGCAGCCTCACTCACTCACTCACGGGGCAGGCAGCTCACTCCACTCATCGGGGCAGGCAGCCTCACTCACGGGGCAGGCAGCCTCACTCACTCACTCACGGGGCAGGCAGCCTCACTCACTCACTCACGGGGCAGGGCAGCCTCACTCACTCACGGGGCAGGCAGCCTCACTCACTCACTCAGGGGCAGGCAGCCTCACTCACTCACTGGGGAGGCAGCACTCACTCACTCACGGGGCAGGCAGCCTCACTCATTCCACGGGGCAGGCAGCCTCCTCACTCACTCACGGGGCAGGCCAGCCTCACTCACTCACGGGGCAGGCAAGCCTCACTCACTCACTCACGGGGCAGGGCAGCCTCACTCACTTCACGGGGCAGGCAGCCTCACTCACTCACGGGGCAGGCAGCCTCACTCACACTCACGGGGGCAGGCAGCCTCACTCACTCACGGGGCAGGCAGCCTACTCACTCACGGGGCAGGCAGCCTCACTCACTCACGGGGCAGGCAGCCTCACTCACTCACGGGGCAGGCAGCCTCACTCACTCACCGGGGCAGCAGCCTCCACTCACTCACGGGGCAGGCAGCCTCACTCACTCACGGGGGCAGGCAGCCTCACTCACTCACGGGGCAGGGCAGCCTCACTCACTCACGGGGCAGGCAGCCTCACTCACTCACGGGGCAGGCAGCCTCACTCACTCACGGGCAGGCAGCCTCACTCACTCACGGCAGGCATCCTCACTCACTCACGGGCAGGCAGCCTCACTCACTCACGGGGCAGGCAGCCTCACCTCACTCACGGGCAGCAGCCTCACTCACTCACGGGGCAGGCAGCCTCACTCACTCACTCACGGGTCAGGCAGCGTCACTCACTCACGGGCAGCAGCCTCACTCACTCACTCACGGGGCAGGCAGCGTCACTCACTCACGGGCAGGCAGCCTCACTCACTCACTCAACGGGGCAGGCAGCCTCACTCACTCACGGGGCAGGCAGCCTCACTCACGGGGCACTCACTGGGTCAAGGCAGCCTCACGCACTCACTCACGGGGCAGGCAGCCTCACTCACTCACGGGCAGGCAGCCTCACTCACTCACTCACGGGGCAGGCAGCCTCACTCACTCACTCACGGGGCAGGCAGCCTCACTCACTCCACGGGGCAGGCAGCCTCACTCACTCACGGGGCAGGCAGCCTCACTCACTCACTCACGGGGCAGGCAGCCTCACTCACTCACTCACGGGGCAGGCAGCCTCACTCACTCACGGGGCAGGCAGCCGTCACTCACTCACGGGGCAGGCAGCCTCACTCACTCACTCACGGGGCAGGCAGCCTCACTCACTCA